GTAGTGGTCTGGGTGGTACGGCAGGTCAGGGCGAGGCGCTGGACCCCCAGCCGCGCGCCAGGTCTGGGTGGGCTATGTGCTACAACCCGGACCCCAGGTTGAGGTTTTCTGGGTGCCGTTGACGGCACGTGATGGGTGCAGCTGGGCGGAACCACGGCGTGCGGATGCAGGTGAACTGTGATCATTTTGTTTAATAACTGAGGGACGTCGCTCTGGTAAGGAAGTTGTAGGCTCTCCTTCAAGTAGTGGCAGAGCCAAGCGGCTTTTGATGGCGCACCCCTCCCTCTCCGCCACCTGGAGGTTGCGGGGACCTCCGGAGCTCATCTTTTCATTACGTTTTGACAATTAAAATGTCCGATGGACTTCTAAAGCACGGTAACGGTCCCTGTGGCAGCAGGTCCCCGCAATTCCGTCCTGGGCGGAATCTTAACTACGCCAATCTCACAGAGGCAATCCCAACAAAAGTTTCAGAGGAGTGAAGAGTATGCTGCGCTCAGGTACAGCTTTGCATTGGTCTTACGCTGAAATGGGGAAATGATTGGAAATGGCCGCCTCCCACCAGGTGTGATTTAGTGGGGAAGGATGATTGAAATGAAATCACAAAGGTTTTTATAGCATTCTCGGGGCTGAGCGGGGGTAGATATTTTCACGGCACATTTAGTGTTCCAGGCGCAGGAGCTGACGAGGTCATGGGGCTGAAAACCCCACGTCTTTCAAAAATAGAGTATTGCACCCGAGGCACTGACCGCAGTCACCCAACATGCCATGCACTCCCCGCACTTGGAAGATTGCATCGCTCTGGCGTCGTCTTTTTCCTCTTTAGAAAGTTTGCAAACTGGTGTAGAGAATACCATATTGGGGGGCTAATACAAATTCCAAAGGCGTTTGAGGCAGGGCCGTGCCAAAAGGCTACCTAGCTATGTCCAAATGATGTGATGTGTCTATGTGAAACGGCTTGCATTATATGGAGCGTTTTTCATCCTTCCACTAATTTATAAGAAAGCATCGTCGAGGCTTTGGATATGATACCACAAAGTCTGGCGTTTTCCACGAATCAAAGCATCGCCATGAAGCTGTTTGCTGGCAAATAACTTCCGCGTGCCCTAATCTGATAGCTCAGCACCGTTCTATTCCAGAATTCCGTCTTCGCACCCGGCTCCTGTCGGGTTTTCCGATCCCGGTGAGGTGCTGAGCAGTTCACGGATGTTTGGCCTGAACGAAAAACTCCGAGCCACTACCTGCAACCAGTCACGCGTTCACGCAAGGGATATCCTGATCGGCTATCGCTGCCAGGTAGCAGATGCCGGCACCGCCACCTGCCGGCTCCTGGACGGAGAGCGGGGTCCAGCTGTCACGCCCCGGTGCAGGTCTTTCCCAGACCGGCGTATTTCCGACAGACTGGTGCGCTCCTGACAGACTGGCGCGCTCACTGAGACTGTGTGACGCCCCTGCTTCCTCGACCGTGTGCTGCCAGTGGGGTCCATCCGACGGGGCACTGCGCTGGCCGCGTGCCACCAGTGGTGTATGGCCGGCCGGACCTCGTCGAGGTCGGCTCGTGACGGCCGGGCCGTGGTGCCGGTGTCTGTCGTGTCGGGCGGGCCGTCGCGGTCGGACCGCGGTTCCGGGATTAGCAGCCGGTGTGTCACGCCTCCCGCAGATCGTCATCTGTCACTGCACCGGCCGCCGGGACCACCCGGTCCGGCTGCATGCCCCGCTGGTACCGGGGAATGGGGGACCGATTGGTCCTGGCGGCGTGGTCCGCTGGTACCGGGGAATGGGGGACCGACCGGTCCTGGCGGCATGGTCCGCTGGTACCGGGGAATGGGGGACCGACCGGTCCTGGCGGCGTGGTCCGCTAGTGCCGGGGACAGGTCAGCGGAGGACATGTCCGCTGGGGAACTGACCGGTCCTGGCGGCATGGTCCGCTGGTGCCGGGGACAGGTCAGCGGAGGACATGTCCGCCGGGCAACTGACCTGTCCTGGCGGCATGGTCCGCTGGTGCCGGGGACAGGTCAGCGGAGGACATGTCCGCCGGGAAACTGACCGGTCCTGGCGGCATGGTCCGCTGGTACCGGAGAATGGGGGACCGACCGGTCCTGGCGGCGTGGTCCGCTGGTGCCGAGGACAGGTCAGCGGAGGACATATGCCCCGGGGAACTGACCTGTCCTGGGGGCATGGTCCACTGCTCCGAGGACCAGTCAGCGGAGGACATGTCCGCTGGGACCAGCCGGTCCGGGTTGGATGGTCTGTTGAAGTTTTGCGCGCTCAGATAATTTCGAGGCGCGGTGATCCCACATGTACAGTTCGACCTCGGTCACGTCTGATCGGGTCACCACGCAGAGTAGTACGCCAAGCCCAACTGGTAGCGTGCTGTCGGGAGGAGCAGCGGGATTCGACTGGAGACTGGAGGACTTGCTGCGACAGGAGGACTGGAGACTGGAGGACTGGAGGACAAGACTGGAGGACTTGCTGCGACAGGGGCTCACTCATCACGGGCAGACAATACCATTCACGCAACCACGTGACCAGATACCCACCTACATTCGGGTAGCCGTGGCCGGAACAGCCTGAGGCAGGCGAAATGGCTCAAGCTGAGAAACGATGTCAGCTTTGCCTGCGGGCTTGCTGTGTCGGGCTAGGACCGCTGCTGACCCGCTGAGATAACCGCCGCCAATTTGGCGCATCTCTCGGCCAATTAATCGAGGTCATTTTCGGAGTTCAACGAGATGGCGCCAGGGGCGAGTGCTCCCATTCTGGCCGCACGTCCAAGACGGAACGCCGACATGGAAGGATCGGTGGAAAAGTGGCGCAGCTATGCACTCAGGCCCGCTTTTTTAGTCCGACAGTGATCGATCCGAGCTACACTATTTTCACTTATCCTGCCGAGTTCGAGAACGTACAAAGGAGCTAGTACTGCTAGCTCACAAAGTGAGTGAAAGAGGCTGACAAATGTCGAATATTGTCTACGTATCACAGCTTACTGGACTTATTCAACGAATCACGCTTTAGACACCGAGAGCAGCCCGCGTAGCGAATATCATTTAACATTATATGACCTGTCTTTTTCGTAGTGTCTGTCGTTGGGTCGAGCGTTGGCATTGACGATACAAAGATCGAACCAGTCGAAGTGTCCAGGACGTGTTCTCCCATTCCTTCAGCGAAGAACGCGTTTGCACAATGCGCTGTAAGTTGCACCGATATCACGAACTTGCTGCGTTTCTCCGCATCCTGTTGACGATCGTGTCTGCGGGCTCGATGACAGAAAAAAAATGGCATTGCTGCTGAAAAGACCGCAGGTCGGAGCAGAAAGGTAAAAATAAAACAGGTATTTATGACCAATGGATGTGGGACCTGATTCATCAAGTCCAATTATCAGGCTCACTGCACTCAGATTACTGACCATAGTAACAATTCCCAGTGCCTAAGCTGCTCATCAAAAGAAAATGAAGCTATGCCAAAGACAAAATATGCCGCCAGTCGCAGCGAGGTACGTGACTTCGCAACAGCAAGGCTTGTGAACATAGTTAGACAGTAATGTTATGGTGGAGAATCCAATGGTCAAGGGCACTGATTGTGAACAAAGACAGCTTGCAGCAGTATGTATTATAAATAAGAGCTCACATAGAAAATGGAGTTTTCGAAATGCCCGCTGTAGACAACTTTAATCACGGCTGTAGTTCAGCCATCATGCCTTTTGTATTATACGGGGTTAATGCATTAGCAACCATGCTGGTTGAACGTATACGTACGGGTTCTCAAGGTCAAGATAGAAAGAGAAGAAAACATTACATCTTGTTGTAACTTAAAGTGTTTTCAGAAGTAGCATACCGGTTTGAGCAGGACTGTTGAACACTGAGGCACACTTATTGAGGTTACATTCTTGTAAAGGATTGTGTGTATAGATTTGAAAAAGTAAGACACCTCGTGTGGTTAAGATACCCGAAAGAGTAGGAGATATAAGAACATCATTTTCCATCGTACAGATGACGCAAAACCTTTTCAAGACCTAATAAAGCCCGGCACCTAAAACAACATACACACCGACGTCTTTAATTAACGCGGCAGAGTTTAGCAGTCAGAGGCTGGCCGAAAGTTATATATTAAATCACTTTATTGTAGCTGGGCTTGGTATCAAAAATTTTCGCTAATGTATTGCAGCGTTGGTATTTAGCAGCCAAATGCAATCAGACGCATAACCTTGAGTACCTGTTTAACAGCGGTCAACACAACTTTGTTTGGCACAGGAGCGCGGTCTAGAATTGCGATGGAATGGCTCACACAGTTAAATCCGCGGTGGGGGTAATCTCGCGCGTCGAATCCGCGTGAAAGTAGACAAGGGTATTTCACATTCAGGAAAAAATTTGGAAATTGGTGCTCCATGGTAAAGGTCTCTGATTTAAATAGTCAATCTGCTATAATTTTCCAAACTGCCATGAAAATTGCCATTGCCCGTTTACAAAAAAAATATCATAACCATCATTCATCTTTCGTGAAAAAAATAATGCTCAGTGATTGGTGCTATTTGTCTGCATATTCTGCTTCGCGGGCGAAGCAGAATATGCAAGTGATTTAAAAAAACATCGCAGAGGCGTAATAGCGGGCCCGTCATTTCCGTAATGCTTAAGCGCGTGGTGAATTCCATTAGGGTTTACCGAGGTAGTCTTCGTGCGCGCATTTTACAAATAGCCTTGCTTGTTAGGAGGCTGGCTACCGGTCTGGCTAGACTAGTCAGCTTCAGTCGACGACATTAATGATTTGATAATGGGCTACGGCTTGGCCGTGACACATTGCAAAAATCCCAACTATTTGAGGTGGGTAATGGCCAAAACGGGTTTAACCACGTACTTAAAATGTTTCTACGTTCCAATCTCTCCCGACTTAGGCCGAGACTTGGTGTATCCGGAACGGATTTCAGATGAGACATTAATGACCGCCTTCCGGGCTCATAACGCA